GAATATTATTTCTTAAATATTTGTTGTCCACGAGAAAATAGATTTACACTTACTCCCAATTTATTTTCTGACGCGCCATGAATTGGTTTACCGTACAAAAAGTAATAGAAAATCCAATAGAGGTCTTGTTTGTAGATGCCGAGATAGTAACTTATGTTTCATTAGGGGCTCGAAAAACGGGTTTTAAGGTCTTGGAAGGCGTGGTATCAGAGTTCTGCACGATGATCGCGTATGTAGAGGGTCGCTTGGGCGCATGGTGTATTCCTTATTTTATAATCTACAAAATTCTAAATTTCTGTTTGTTCTTTTTGTGGCAATGATTTCTATAAATTGCAGAAAACATTCATATTCCCTTAAAGTGTTAAATTGCTTGTGAACTTCAATAGTGGCGCAAATTAAAGAAAATACGAGTTTTCAGTTTATGCACTCTCAAGAACTGCAGATTGGTCTACCTTCAAAAAAGCAACGGCAGCATATATTACAATACAATAGTCCACCAACAAATGGCAGAAGTGTGAATGCAAGAATGGTGCATTTCAGTAAAAGGTGAAAACTTCAAACTCATTTTATACGGCTCCTGAATTTTTGAATAGAGCCAACGATACATAAAGCAGATAATATTCACAGTACCAAATATTTCTCTTAGATTTTGAATCTTCCTATACTGCTCTAGACCAAGTGTAAAACTTGTTAACTTTACGGGTGTCTTAGGAAATCTTGAGTGAAAAAAATCTCAACCCTTCATCCAGTTCTGAGGAGTGAGTCGAGTATGAGGAAGAGAGCGCCGTGCAAGCAGGAAGAGCAAATCATTGAATTTCCGAGGATATTGTGGGAGGGTGAAAGTGAAAACCAAAATGCGAACTGATAACTTTCTACGCGTTCTTTGACAAAATTATGAATATAAATAAAAATAAGAAAATAAGATAACGTTTCATAGTTAATACAAAGTCAATATAATCTTCGATAAGAAAAAAATTACATTCTGGTTCTCCGATCATAAAATCGAATCTGTCGTATCAGTTATTCGCCACGCATGCTGCCAAATATTCCACTAACATGACTCACATTACCATCACCGCTATCCAAACATCCGAAACGAGAGGATTGACCCTCCCAAAGTCCGTCGCGACGAGAACACCGGTGTCTTAGCGCGAAAAAAAATATCCGGCAACGCTCATCTCGTTAGCTCACCGACTCACTGCATTTCTCGGAAATATTCTGTTTATGAGACAGCCCGCATGAACTCAGGCATATTTCCGAGCGCATTCCACAACCACGGCTCTGTTCTCCCCAAAAGATTTAGACCATCCCACTTGTTTATTTATGTCAACAAATAAATGATCTCATGACCGTCTATATAGGCTTTGTTCGACCTCCCACGAGTTTGAGTCACGACATCCGTCTCCACTGCTCCCCGTGGCGGGGGAGTGGTGACCGCCTAAGAATACTTTCCGTTGACGTTCGTTGGAGATGATGACGTCAATCACGTGGGCCCCCGGTCGTCGTGCGCATTGCTAACGCGTGAGAGGCAGAGCGCGCGGGGCCGACCTGATCACGCACGCACGCGCGCCGTCAGCGGTTCCGGGTGAAGGCACGCGTGAGGCGTGCGAGACGGTGTCCGGGCCGAGAGCGTCGTAAGCGCATTTGGCGCCTCGGCGAAACCGAATCGTGCTGGCACGTGGTGTCTGCGAGAAATGCAATCTACATAATTTTTTTTCGACGCTTTGAAACTAGTTTCTTGGCATATGCAGATTCAAAGTGTGAAATACGTGCCTGGAGGAAAATCGTGCCGTCAATAGTCATCATTTTAGTGTTAGTACTGGTTTAGTTCGCCTTGGGTCAACTGTTATTGAAGACCAGGATCTGACCAGGAGTGCCGAAGATGGCAGTATTTTCGACTTAAGTTACATAGCTGACTGAAATTCAGTCGCTTTCTGGAGGAGAATTCTAGCGGCCGGTTGCTCTAATCGGTAGTCTTCCGCGGTCTCTCCGATCAACGCCTGGTGAATGCCGTAGCAGTACCGTCACAAACGAACCGCGCGTGAGCTTCCCTTCCTCTTCCTTGTCTTATTTTACACCCACTTACACACATTTGCACTACCCTTTACACACACACACACACACTTACCATCACTACACTACCACTATCTTTGACACCTCCCGATAAAAACATGCACAACTCTTAAAGTATTAATGAACTTAGTATCTGACGCCTCCGGTAACACTAATCAATCAATGAAAATAGGCGTTCGCCACTTTGAAATTAGGCGTTCGAACATACGTCCTAGATAGTGTTAGGGCATGAAATATGTCCGAGAATACCAGCCGAGAAGTAACATTGGTCAATATGTTGTAGAGATTTTTCTACTAGCAACAACACTGATAGACCGACGCTCTTTTCTGGATACAAGGCCTAAACCCACATTTTCTTGTTGTGATGTGTCCTTAACGCCGCAGTCCCCGAAAAATCGTCTAGAACTTTCTGAACATGCTTTAATTTAATTTCAACTAATTAAATGCAATGTGAAAATTAAACAATTGTTTTCGAGTTATGTATATTTACTATAATTTTGTAATTAATTACAGTTAAGCATACCAATGTCGAGATTGGCTCGGAATACCAGTATTTAATATAATTCTAGGTGTCAAGGATTATGGCTAATTTACACTGAAAAGAATAAATAAAAGTTGCGTATCTGGGAGTCCCCCACACCCACACAGATTATTCCTGACATTTATTAAATAATAATTATTTGTTATTATTACAAAGATGAGCATCTAAATCTTACACTTCGATAGGGAGATAAATGAAATTACCAAACCCTTTCAGCTTTTGAATCTGTTTTTGACCAAAAAAATCATTTAAGCAGCAACTAATCAAAACGTATAGTGTCCACTAGTGAAAAAAATGATTAATATGAAATAGTGTAGTATTTAATACGCTCTATACGCTCCTGCAGTCATATTTCTTCAAAATGCATTTAATTTAATATGTTAAAATGCGCTTTGTAGAAGGAACATGTTGAATGTACTAAAAACTATTCGATTTCAAACCAAATCCTTTTTTAGTATAGTGGACAATAAGTGTTTTGATTAGTTGCCTCTCATTTATCTTCTTAGCATTTCTGTAGGATACTCGATATGACTATCGTTCGTTACTCTGCATAATTTTTGAAGAAATGAAATAACGTTTCTATTCAAATGTGTTTTTTTCGAATGTTGCAATTTAAGCCATCATATCCACAAAACTGATTGATGCTATCAATCGTTTTCCATGGGCTTCCCTATCATCAGTTATATTCCGCTATATATAGCGCCTCATACATTCTGTGGAAGCTTTCATGGACTTGCTCTGTTTAAGGGGAGCCATAGAGACAATAGAGACATCTCGTTTCCATGTTAATTTGACTCTGTGTGTGTATATATATATATATATATA